TTACAAACTATCACAGGAAACTTAGAGAAGACAAACTGAACAAAAATTAATTATAAAACTATCACCGGAAACTTAGAGAAGACAAACTGAACAAAAAACAATTATAAAACTATCACTGGAAACTTAGAGAAGACAAACTGAAAAAAATAAATAAATTACAAAACATTGAGAAAGTTATTATATTTCTTTAGTCTTACTTTTTATATTTGTTTGTAATTAAGCATAAAGCTACAAAATAGGCTATCTGTACTCTGCCCACCATTGTTTCTAGCGTTGTAAGTCCGCAGGCATACCGTTGTGCCAATATGGGTGAGGGGGGGGGTTATAGAAGGTCGACTAAGGTCATTTACAAAGATGGTCCATAGTACGTGATTTTGAAAAAAAAATAAGTTCCATTCACATAACTAACAATTTATACATCAAGTTTTAATATTTGGCATCAAATGGAATCCGCTGTAATTTTGACCAATAAATTCTATTTCATTTAAACGATTTCTCAAACCCCATCCACAGCGATCCAACGTTTATACTGTTTTACCCACATGATGAAGAAACATATTTGGGTATATTCAAGTCGCTGGGGCTACGATAAGAAAGTGTTAAAATTGCATTTGGAATGTTTTATACTTTGGTTCAAGCGAGAAGATCAACTTAAAACAAAAACTAATTTATTTTGTAGTTTTTCTAACGAGAAACTCATATTAAAACAGAAAACAAAATATTTTTTTTCACCTTGAGGTAAATTTCCAAAGCTTGAAGGAAATATTTTTCAGCTTCGCTGTAATTGTTTATTTCTGTCAATGCGAGAGCCAGATTGTACGCCGTATCCGCAACCTAAGAATGGTCCAAATAATGCTATATTTTTACGCTGTACCAGCAACCTAAAACAATTCACACAATGCTATATTTTTAACATGTATTTTAAATTATTGAAACATCCTTGATTGAAAATATTGGAACAGTATCTTAAGAGACTAAGCAGCTTACACTTAAATACACTATTATACAGTACAATCATTCCTAGTTAAGCCTAAAACAATTTAATCATTGAAGTTTTTAAAATTATAGTTTTTTTTAATATGCGATATAATTAGTTATAATTCACTTAACACAACTTTCAAGCAATTTAATTACTGTTATCACCCTTTGATCATTGAAACTTCTTAAAGAGTTATAGTCTGTTGTGCGGTAGCATTAGGCCTAATTAGGCTTAACTTATTCAGTATGTAGTTCTCACAACCATTCGTTAGAAAAAGTTTTTTAAGAATTAAGTTTTCGTATGCTTGTTGGTATTCTGACTCTTTGATGTAAACCACTACGTACAATTCACAACTTATCTCCGCATGGTAGAATATAATTATAGAATAAAATTTTCTAAAGAAAGAATGCGTAAAATATTTGTTTAAGTTAATTGATGTTAGTTTTTATCATGGCATATATCAAACTGAAATTTTCAACATTTTAAAGGTTCATGTTGGAGTGTATAGAGAAGTTTGATATAAAAGATAAACCCTCTCATTGATCTGAAATACAAGAGAAAACTCCTCATTGATCTGAAATAAAAATAAACCATCTTATTGATCTCACCTTCAAACTATCTTGACCATTCGATTTTGTCCTAATTTCCAGAGCTTGTTCATAGCATTCTATTGCGCATTCCGCGAAATTCAACTTGCAAAGAATAGAACCCATACTGTTTAGGGTTGATGCCACTATGGGGTGCTCAGGTCCAAATACCTACAAAAATATAATTCTTAACTTATTAAATATTAAATTTTAGAATTAATTTGAATCCATAATATAAAAACAATTTTTCATGAATGTGGTAACTTGCTGTTAGGCATTAAATTTCTTTTACATTTTCTAAACCAGGAACCAAAACAGAAGCCTATCAGATGAATCCAGTGATAACAAATAGGCGTTTACCTTTGTTTGCTCGTCGAGACTGTGATTATGTAAATATAGAGCGTCTTTGTATTTTTTCTTCTTGGCTAAATCCAGCACCGCGTTGTGGTTGGCCATGAGGATCTGTAACAGATCTGAGTTCTATATAAATGTCGTTTGAAAAATCATATCACACTTATGTTTTTATCTGCAAGAATTAAACAAAGTATTATTGTTAATTAACTAATGAAACGCTTGAGAAAACTTGGTGTTCGAAAAGGAGCAGAATCAATGTTTTCCTTCATATATCCTATTTTTTAAGAGTTGTTATGATATTAAAAGCACAATTTAATAAATTTAATATAGCATAAGCGTATAAAACCATAAATTGAACTTGGTTTATTTATTCATAATTATGTTTACTTATTTTTTATATACCTGTAATTAGATCATTTTCTAAAGACGTCCCTAAATCCTCCCTTTATTTTCATCAGAGACTCGGATTATCTTATTCTACGAGGGTTGGCCTAAATTAAAATTTCGTTAACAAACATCTAATTAAGTAAGAGTATAGTTGGTTGTTGATAATGTTCGTCTGTTAATTATGCACTGATTATAAAATTCGATTCAACTAGACATCAAGCAGTCCTTTTAGGTCTTATAAATAATTTATTTAATTTGCTAGGTAGTCTTAATCGTTTTGTAAGTAAAAACAACAGAGGGTTATTTAGTACAAACATCGCTAACCGTGCTTGTTTTTACTATCCGCCACGTAGCAGCGCAAACGCCACAGCCTTGCTAAGAACAGCAAAAAACTGGGATGTTACCGAAGGCCAATAAGCGTGGCATTGACGTTACCATGACAATCTTTCCATTAAATTTTGCTTCAAACTAGTTCTAACAAGAAATGTCTTGCATTACAACGATGCCCGTTCCAAACTTCCTGCGTGAATATCATAATAAAGTTATTATTTTACTTTTAGAGAATTCGTAGCGTTTCTTGCTTTACAGACACGTTCTGTGGCATAAGTAAGAACGTGTTCTTTTACGTCACTAGTTAGTACGTGTAATTGTACAAATGAAAAGGTAGATACTGAAATAATGTCGTGAAAGTTGTTTATAGTGACATCTTGTAAAGAAAGAGGAAAAGATACGAAGTTAATGTCATGAAGGCAGTGGAATGAGTTAGTTACAAGGTCATAAATATAGTGGAAAGAGCAGGTTCTGATGTCATGAAAGCAGTGGCAGGAGCTAACTTCGATACAAGAAGCAGGAAATAAAATTATTTCTTAAATTACATTTGATTATCTAATATTTGAAAACAATTCACAGGCTTTGTTCAGTGACAAACGATATCCTGTATATATCCAGTTCCCACATCCCAGCCAATATATAATTACTTAAACTTTAATGTCTTGAAGGTAGTATAAAAGAATATAGTTTAAGTTATTGTGTCCATATAGCGATTTTCAGACAAAGTTCTGTTTACAGCGACCTCGAGTTAGCGGAAGTCTGATTGTCTGATTCTGAACCGTTTTCAGTACTTTAGCTTTGTGTGTGTGAGTGAGATAGTATATTTCTAATCGTATTTAGTATTTTGGCCATGTCTTTGTGTCAGATTATGACACTTTATTATCACTTAACTTAAAACTAATACTTGAATTACAAACCATAAATGTTGGCTCTGTGAATAGGTATACTACATAAGGCTATAACGAAGAGTTAAAAATATTGGCTCTGTTAATAGGTATACTACATAAGGGTATAACGAAGAGTTAAAAATATTGGCTCTGTTAATAGGTATACTACATAAGGGTATAACGAAGAGTTAAAAATATTGGCTCTGTTAATAGGTATACTACATAAGGGTATAACGAAGAGTTAAAAATATTGGCTCTGTTAATAGGTATGCTAC